GCTTCACCCACATCCTGCCAGATTTTTCACCACTGCTGGTCTTTGTATCTCCATTGATTGAATCGAATTTTAGCTTTTCTCCCTTTTTCTTCTCAGAGTTGATGAGAAGAGTAATTGGCTCAAAGGAAAGGATAGATGACTTTAAGGGACTTTAAAAATTTATAAATTAGTCAATTTATGAATTAGTCAACAAGTGAGAATTAGTTTTAGCTGTTCTGCATCACTGGCTTTGTTTATTTTAAACCCTTTCCTCCCCACGAGAGCCCCCGTGATGGGGGTCATGGGCTACAAGATTGCTTCTACCTTTCATCCTACACCCACTCCAGGGAATGTGTGAGATTTAGAAAAGACATGGCCCGCCAATCCTTTTTCTTTTAACCATATGTCTTTTAGCCATATTTTAAGGTTATCAGAAAAGAAAATGAATTTCTGGAAGACACCAGTCCTTAAGAAATTACCTGTTGAAGCCGAAATTTTCTGTGTCACCAGAACCTTCTTTGGAATGTTCTTTTCCTCATCGCATTGGCTGAAGAGGCTAGTCACCTTCTTAGCTGAGCTTTTCACTGGCTTACTCAAGGGCTCCTCCTGGCCATCAGTCTTCTGGGCTCCCAGGAGCCAGAGCCACCTCACCTCTTCCCAGGCCCATGCTGTGTCCCTTTTGAGATGGCTTCCTGAGTTACTCTGAAATGAGCCACACGAGGTCTGGAGATGTGAGAAAGGAAAGAAGAATAAAGAGTTCCTGCCAATCAACATCTTTCATTCCGTAGTCTCTCTTCTTTGGCTACTTAGTCACTTCTAGTATCTGTCCCCTTGGGGCTTTTTATTGACCCATAAATTTGTGTCATTCTTATCTCCACTTTATCTCGTGAGTAGTTTGACCAGAGTCAGCTCCTAATGACTAACAATCATGTGCCAAAACTCCTGGTTTGTTCCTCAGACCTATTTATATCTGTGATGCATGCCCATTTACACTTAACTTTTCAAGAATTTTTTAAAAGATTTTACTTATCTTTAGAGAGAGGGGAGGGGAAGGGAAGGAGAAAGAGAGGGAGAGAAACCTGTGTGGCTACCCCCCCACATGACCCCCCTCCAGAACCCAGGCCACCCAGGTATGTGCCCCGACCAGGAAGCGAACCAGTGACCCCTTTGGTTTGCAAGCTCCTGCTCAATGCACTGAGCTATACCAGCCAGAGCAAGAATTTTTTTTTAATTAAGGGATACACTGTAGTTGTGAAACAAACATATATAAATTTCTTGACCCTGTTCTAGCAGGCTTCCTTCCCCTAGTTCCTTGTTCCCCAAGGCCACACTCCTTCACTCTTGGGGCTCCCATTGGGTGCATCCTGTTTTCCCAGAGGAGCCTCTCCTTCCTTGAACCTCCTGTCTTCCTCCCATCAACTTGGGCTCCTTAGTCTCTATCTCCCATTTATGGCCTGCAACCAGATTCTGACTCCTTTGTTGCCTCCCGTAGCTGCCTTAGCTCTGTCTCTCACTTGCTAGTTTCTCTGAAGTACTGGGTTCCTGGGGCTGAAGGGAGGTGAAATGTGAGGAGTAGGGTCCCCTCACAGTGCTCAGACAGATGATTGGCACGGATCCTGGCTCCTGGGGTCCGCGGTCTGATGGATGGGATAAGACAAATTCACACAGAGTACCGAGTCCTGTGGAGGAAAAGGGACAGCACAGCTTCTCTCTCAAGGGGAGAGCAAGCCTCAGAGTGCTTCAGCCACTGTCTCAAGAGGAGGGCAGCTCCACCCTTGCCTTGACCAGCTTTTACTGAGTTCAATTTCCACAGGAATACAGGGTATATATGTAAAGCTCATCAGCCATTGTCAGGCAGAAGTGATTAAACAATACACAACATTCAAAGAACTCTGAGGGCTTATTTTGCTTCAGGTCAGACAGTTAAAGAGCAATAAAACTTTAGGGAACAAACTCAATTCCTGCTTGGACCTTTATCATTTAAATTGAGGGTATTAGCAAAGCAGGTTTCACAGAATTTTACATATTCTTTCTTAGGCCTGATTACCCTAGGGAACCCACCCTTTCCAGCACAGGGCCGCACCCACCTCCAGCATTGTTTCAGGCTTAAGTCAGGCAGGGGAAGTAAGGCAGCCAAGAGATTAGGAAACTTCTTGCAGACAGAATGAGGACTCAGGCTATGTCAAAGCCGAAGGGCAAAGGTCTATCACCCCCTTTTTCTATAGCCCCCCAAATTTTTCCCTGAGGGCCCCTTCATGACCGTGCCTCTCTTAGGTCATTTCTCTTTTGAGGAATCTTGCCCATCACTGGCTAACCAGTCATCCGCCTGAGGCCAAGCAGGGTGAAGAGAAAGGTGGCAGAAGTGGTGCTCCTACAAGGAAGATAAGCTTTGTCTCCTAAGTGGTTTATGGTCCCAAGATCCTTTACTCAGCCTTAGCCAAGGGAGATTACAGCTTTTGAAACCAGTCAGGGCAGGTCCCACCAGATGATCACAGGCAATTATGCTAAAAGAGCATCTTTATCTGTTGTATATCACCTTGTATTCAACAGCTCCAGCAACAGAGGAGAGAGAAAACTATTCTGCCTTTTGTTACTCTGCCAACACTAAAAAGCTAAGGGGACCCAGTAGCTAGAGTATCCTAAACAAAAAGCTTCATTCTACAGAAATGCATGCTCTGCCCTCCTCCTGACTTTAATGAAGAAGTATTTTACCCACTTACCCAGAGCTTATTGCATTGCAAAAAATGAAATTGCAGGACTTGCAAAATCAAACTCCATCAGCTAGAAGATGAAAAAGGAAATTATAAGTCTATAAGACACACAAACTTGTTATTTTAAATAATTTGTTTCTCAGGCTATGTTTATTCCACAAGACAAAGTGAAAGAGGGAAAAGTTGTATTTTTCTTCTGAAATAGCTATGTTAGCTGGGTGAATAACATTGGGCTTGTGAGATGCAGAGTTGCTCAAGGCACAAGTCTTTTGAGAACATACCTGGCTATGGTGGCTGAGTGTGCCAGGACCCTGGGGCACTGCTGAGCTGGTTATGAGGCAGCAGAAAAGAGCAAAGAAAAAATGTCTCCCAGACCTTAGGCCCTGTGAAGAGAAGCTGAAGGATAAAAGAGCAGTCAATGGACTGAGTTTGGTTTAGGCAGGGTGGGGGGGTGGCTTTAGAGAGAGAAACAGCAATGTGCCCCAAGGCATCGGAATCACACAACCTCACCCTGATCAGCAGGAGAGCAGTTTTGAAAGAAAGAAAGAGAAAGAGAGAGAGAGGAAAGAAAGAAAGAAAGAAAGAAAGAAAGAAAGAAAGAAAGAAAGAAAGAAAGGAAGGAAGGAAGGAAGGAAGGAAGGAAGGAAGGAAGGAAGGAAGGAAGGAAGGAAGGAAGGAAGGAAGGAAGGAAAGGAGGGAGGGAGGGAGGGGGGAAGACCTGCAGGTGTCTCAGAGAGGGAAACCACTGACTCATGCCTCCTTCTGGCATTGACACCATGTTATCGTTATTAACACAGCACCACCGATAGCACCGCAGCTGGGGGACCCAGCTCTAATTCCCACCATTCTCTGTACAGCATATTCTGCACACAAGGCTTGTTCCTCTTAAGTTAGGTCGGCTCTCAAGCAATTTACAGTACATATTGGGAGAATTGGGAAAGTGTCTTCATCCTCTCTAGAAAAGTTGAGAATGAAGCTCATTCAGATTCTCCCAAAGATTTGCCATGGAGCTTTTAAAAAGTGAACATTTGAGCTCAAACCATGACTTGGCCTTGGTTTGTCTTTTCCAAGTTAATTTAAGCAAGCGAAAAATAGGGCACAATTTTATTTTAAACATGTGACTTCTGTCTTTATAAATAAATGGCTGGGTAGTTTATTAGATCATTGACATCAAGTTCATAACAGTGATTGACTCTGCATTGACACCTGGCAGGTATTGAGCTGGGCTGGCAACATGGAAATGGAAACAGGAATATGAGACAGATTATGCCCCTAAGAATTTCTAACAGGGAGAGCCAGGACACCTCGAAGTAACCGTAACATGAGACATCTGCGATCAGCTACCCAGAGAAACCAAGGCATAGGGTAATTTACTTATCAACAGACACACGGGGGTGTCCAATCTTTTGGTGTCTGGGCCACACTGGAAGAGGAAGAGTTGCCTTGGGCCACACATTAAATACATTGTGACACGTAATCACAAAAAAAATCTCATAATGTTTTAAGTCAATTTATGATTTTGTGTTGGGCCGCACACAGCCTGCAGGCTCTGGGTTGGACACCCTGTGAGTTCACCACAAGTTGCTTTATGTAATCTTGGTCAAATTTCTTAATGGTTGTTTTTCTTTTATTGCTGATAGGATTGAGTTAGATTAAATCAATTCCAGGAGCCTCAGTAACAGGACCATATTAATTCCTTTAGAGGCACTAAATTTTTTTTAAAAGATTATTGGGAATAACAACAAAAATTTTATTATATGAATACAAAATAGAATAATCCCAGTCCATATAAACTGCAATAAGAATAGCTACATTCTAAAGTTCTTTTGAAAAAATCTGGGTAAAGTCATCGATATGCAATGTTCTCATTTTGTTCATGACTCTGATAAGCCAACAACCCTAACAATTATTTAGGTCACTGAACCCTGCCCCAAGCCACAGCTAGGCCATGGGAGTGGTGAAAGGGTGGGACTCCATTTCAACAAAAGCTATTCAACTTTGGTGTTTATTTATCAAGATCGTGCATTAAAGTTCATTGAGGGAAAGGGGGATTGGCCATTAAACATCACTGGATTAGATCATCTCCAAAGCCTCTTCCAGCTCAAAAAGATTTGGATTCTATCATGCTCAGTGAGAACATCACTGCCCTTCTCTCCTCCCTACCTCCTCCTCAAAACCAGCAACCTCTCAGTTTCCCTCTGGTAGGACATTGATGACCGAGGTCCAGGCACAGTTTTCACCTCCCTGTCCAAGGTCTGTACACCTCCAGCAGAGCCCCCTGGTGACTCTCATTCTCTCTTCTTCACACAGGGTGGAGAACATGTCCATGCGACTGGAGGAAGTCAACGAGAGAGAGCACTGCATGAAGGCTTCACTCCAGACTGTGGATATCAGGCTGGCGCAGCTAGAGGACCTCATTGGGCGCATGGCCACTGCCCTGGAGCGTCTGACCGGTCTGGAGCGGGCCGAGTCCAACAAAATTCGTTCTCGGACCTCCTCGGACTGCACAGATGCAGCCTACATCGTCCGTCAGAGCAGCTTCAACAGCCAGGAGGGGAACACCTTCAAGCTCCAAGAGAGTATAGACCCTGCAGGTGAGGAGACCATGTCCCCAACTTCTCCAACCCTAGTGCCCCGTATGCGAAGCCATTCTTTCTATTCAGTCAATATGAAAGACAAAGGTGGTATAGAAAAGTTGGAAAGTCTTTTTAAAGAAAGGTCCCTGAGCCTACACCGGGCTACTAGTTCCCACTCTATAGCAAAGGAAGCCAAAGCTCCTGCAGCCCCTGCCAACACGTTGGCCATTGTTCCTGATTCCAGAAGACCATCGTCATGTATAGACATCTACGTCTCTGCCATGGATGAGCTGCACTGTGATATAGAGCCTCTGGACAATTCCGTGAACATCCTTGGGCTGGGCGAACCAAGCTTTTTGGCTCAAGTACCTTCCACAGCTCCCTCGAGTAGTGCCTATGCAACTCTCGCACCCACGGACAGACCTCCAAGCCGGAGCATTGATTTTGAGGACATCACCTCCATGGACACTAGATCTTTCTCTTCAGACTACACCCACCTCCCAGAGTGCCAAAACCCGTGGGACACTGACCCTCCAATGTACCACACCATCGAGCGTTCCAAAAGTAGCCGCTACCTAGCCACCACACCCTTTCTCCTAGAAGAGGCCCCCATTGTGAAATCGCATAGCTTTATGTTTTCTCCTTCAAGGAGCTACTACGCCAACTTTGGGGTGCCCATGAAAACAGCAGAATACACAAGTATTACAGACTGTATTGATACAAGGTGTGTCAATGCCCCTCAAGCAATTGCTGACAGAGCCACCTTCCCTGGAGGCCTCGGAGGCAAAGTGGAGGACGCATCTTGCTGCCATCCTGAGCGAGAAGCAGAACTGAGTCACCCCAGCTCTGACACTGAGGAGAATGAGGCCAAAGGCCGGAGAGCTGCCCTCGAGATACCCTCCCAGGAGGGCAATAACTCAGACAGAACCCTTTCCAACAACATCACAATCCCCAAAATAGAGCGCGCCAACAGCTATTCTGCGGAGGAGCCAAGTGCGCCGTATGCACACACCAAGAAGAGCTTTTCCATCAGTGACAAACTCGACAGGCAGAGGAACACAGCAAGCCTGCGAAATCCCTTCCAGAGGAGTAAGTCCTCCAAGCCAGAAGGCCGAGGGGACAGCCTGTCCATGAGGAGACTGTCCAGAACCTCGGCTTTCCACAGCTTTGAAAGCAAGCACAACTAAACCTCCTAGTAAGCATTGCAGGAGGCTCAGAATCCAGCCCTAAAATTCTCCCCAAACTCTACCTGCTCCCATTCCTTGAAGTATACCTGCTTTATTTTTAGTTGAACAAAGAAAGCAATGCCTTGGGAGGTGTTCACTCAAAGTTGACTTCTGGGCCACAGATCAAGAAGGTGTTTGATCTGGCTTAGTGCCAAACACAGGGGATGTAAGTCATGCTCACACTTGATGGGTAGGGAGGGGAAAGAGAGGAAGAAGAAGGGTTGAGATGAATGTATATCACTAGTCGCTTCAGAAAGCGTTCAGCTCTGGGCATGAAGGGGCTTCATGCATTCTCCACGCCAGGAGGAGTCTTTCGATTTCTGACCATTATCACGAGTTTTAGGAAGCAGGGCTAACTTGCAAAATAAAATAAAATAAAGTAGCCAGCATACAAATGAGATATTCTAAACTTCAATTCTGTTTTCTTTTCACATTGGCTCCATCACTGGTGACTGATGAAGAGCATCCTTTTTATTCAGTATAAGCCGGCAGCAAGCAGTTCTACCTAACGTCCCACATCCTTCTCATGCCAACACTTCTGTAATTGATCAGTATAAAGAAAGAACAAGGTAACAGTCATAGTTCACCTGTCTCACATATTCACTTCTGGTGCCACAACTGTTCATCTTTTTTGAAGAAAATGAAAGAAAAGAAATGCCTTTTTGTATATTGCAAGTGAAATGAAAGAATTGATGTTAAAAGCAAATGTCACGTGGCCTATTATATACAGTGGGCATCCAAGTATAGTTGAGGAAGCTCAGGATGAATGTAACTAAATAATTTTATATTTTTAATTTATTTTGTATCTCACTTGTCATCAATGAATTCACTCACTGAGTATGTAATTGTGAACTAACAACAAAAAAAAGAGAGCAGGCATAACTCCCCTAAAATTGCCATATGGGACATCTCACCAGTCATGTCGTGTGTGATGCCGCTGTGTGACCTTCCTCATGTGCATGACCTCACCTTGTCTTCTGAACATCTCCAAGACGTAACCACCGATTTTTTCACACCACTCACCGCAGGGCCATTTTATATGTGGATATCTGGTGGATATTTTCATACCTAGAGTTTTGCCATTTAATCTGAGCTAAGCATAAATTTAATTGGAGTTTTTCAAGGGCTGGTATCTTTTTTATGGAAATGTTCCAAAGTACTTTTTAAGGAAGTTTTGAAATCATAAATAACCTTAGCATTGACTGGGAGTTTGGTGTCAACCCAAAGCCCTCATTGCAGGCACGCCATGAGTATTTTTCCTGTACACAGAGCTATTAAAAAAGATATAGTACACTACAGTAAAAAGAAAATAAACCATGTGAGGAGTTCTATAGTGTATGCTGCTTATATACATATATATGCATTTATACAAAGAGACATGTTATATATAGTATATAAACAGGCATATAGAGCTTTCTTAAGAGGCCTGGACTTTTCTATCACCTTGAGGTACAATCACAATTTTTAATATCCAAGGAATTTCATTGAAAGAATTCATTGTATTTCAACAGATATTGAACTTATTTTTTAAATCCCTATCCCCTTAACAGTTTCATGTACCAAGCTAGAGTTGTTAAAATGAATTGCCACCTATGTACTGCCTGCCCCTCTTTCTTGTCCAAAAGCAGCCACTACCATGACCTCTCATTTCTCCTGCACAAAGTGCTTACACCAAGTACAATCAGAATAGACATCCCTCTAAAGCAGACAGTAGTATGGATTCTAGAATACAGGGGTACCTGCTTCTAGATCAGAATCTGGATTTGAAATGAGATAAAAAAAATTTCGATGCTTGATTCTTTTGATTTCCATTTGGATCACTGCTTTTAAGAAAATAAATAAATAAAATCTTAAAGGAAAATGACTTAATGTTCCTGGCCCAAAGCAAAAATTGGTTCTTTTCTTTAGTTGTTACTGGGAACTCCAAATTTTCTTATTATGTGGCATCAAGTAAATACATGGACAAAACCTCTAGCCTTTAAATGTAAAAAAAGAAAACTCTAAATAAACTTTTTGGGTGTAGAATGTAGAAATAGTGATGAGACACATATAAAGAATTAAGGAATTTCTTTTTCGTTCCTTAGTATCTAAGTGAATCAGAAACAAGCAATCATGCATTTGGTCTGAGAATAAGTCAGTTACCCTTAAACTTCCTGGAGTCCTGAATCTCTTTTAGGATCTGATGAAAGCTCTGGGCCCTCCCCACAATGGAAAAAAAATGTATACAAATGAAAAGTTGCAATATAACTTTATAAGGTTCCTGTACCCCTGGTTCCATACTGATGGATTATGAGGAAGAGGAACCATGTTTGTTCATAATCAATACAGTTGTAATAATAGGCACTTTACATTTTGAGACCAATTCTCTGTGATTCTCAGGAAGGCCAAGTCTCAACACCAGAGTCAGAATCGAGATTTTGTAATTTTTGTTCCTTAGATTAGATTTTGCTAGTCTGATGTGTTTACTACATCCTAATATATTGATTATTTTAAGCGTGGAGCACACTCACAGAGCCAGAAGGCTCTCTGAGAAGGTCTGTTGAGCACTCTAAGAAGGAGGCATAACCATTACTCTTTGACCACAGAGCAGGACATCACAGCACCTCCTGGGCCTTATTCTGGACCAGACCGAAAGTGGGGGAAGGAAATTAGGAGCTTGGGTGTTTCCATTCATTGCAATTTCTGGACAGAACAGAACAGGACCCAGGAAACAAAGTACTTAACAGTCCTGACCTTGTGACGACCTGGTTTTTTGTTGTTGTTGTGCATGAAAATAAAGTTCTTACATCTTTCGTGATGTGTGTGAAATGTATAAACTAAATTTAAATGACTTTAAACACAAGCTGTGTAGCTTTCGTGAGCCATTTCTTTCCTGTGCGCATACACGTGTTACGTTTCTATCCATTCCTTTCTGTTTCTGGATCCTGTGCCCACTGCCGTGGCATCGATTCTGTGGCCTCGTACAGTCAGCTTGTGTGCAGCTCATTTATTCCACCACATCCCTGACCGAGAGGACGCTAATTACCTGTCTCTGTGAATTAAGCAGCTCATGAGCAGCAAGCTATTGGGGAACATAAATAAAGTCATAGAGAACTCAAAGAAGTAATGGCTTTGGTTTAATCATCTGCTTCTAAAGGTGCCAATTTTTATATACTACTATATGTAATGATTCATTCTAAATTGCTTGGTCCTTTTGAAAAAATTAAGGATGTTTTATGAAAATGACTGTGGAAATTTCTTGATAAACCAACATACCTTATATTTGTTGTGAGAAGTGCCCTCCTTAATGGATTTGAATGAGGAGCTGGAAAGCTTGGGGATAATCATCATGGCTAGTTTGTGTGTTTCTCCGAGCCAGACCATGTATTACCGGTCAGAATGCAGCACTTTATAGAACTGGGTTTTTTTAAATCCAGGCTTCTAGGTCTAACATATTATTTAGCACTTTGAGAGTTCCCTATGAATATATATATATATATATATATATATATATATATATATATATATAATAACCAAATGGGGAAAAATGTACTTGTAAAAACACAAAATGTGTTTTCTTCTGAATGTTTCAAATGTATTCTAAAAGATGGTTTCTATAGATAACATTATGGTAGATAACTGGATAGTACATTTATTCTGCTTTCTGAGGCTGTACAGTCTAATCTTTCCTGAATGTTTGGGCTGTTTGACTTCTTTAATGACAATAAATATTATCCAGTCATCCATCATGCTATATCTGTAGGCTGTTCCATTCAATGTGTTGGGCAATGCTGTATAATAAAATACATTTAAGCAGATATGTAACCTGTGTTTAACCCAGCATAGCTGTAGCATGTGGTTGTATTAATGAACGTTACAGGACAGCTTTATAATCATTTACAAATCTGTAACATTCAATAAAGAAGCACATGTTGCAAGGATGAATTATGTCCCCAACTCCATGTTATTTAGCATACTCATGAAATGGGCACTTTTGTCCCTGACCTGCTTCAGGTTTTCCACTTTCCTCCAGACCACTGTAAAATATGTGTATAAGCTGATGTACAGCCTCTAACCAGCCCTGCGAGTCATGGGGGGCAATTGTGATTTTGTGAAAGATAAACTGGCATGTTATGCAAACAACTATCTGACAAATGAACTTAAGATAATATTTCAAACTCCAGTTTAATTAGCTGTTTGTTTACACCTGCTGACCCAGTATGGAAGCAGTGTACAGTATTTTATAAATATGCTCATTTAGTAACACTACTCTGTTTCTAGATAAAGTGATGCTAATGTATAAGTGGTAATATACTTGTTCTAGATATTGCATTATAACCCACTCTTCTTGAACAATAGCAATGTGACCTAAATGAAGTAATCCCGCTCCAAACCCAGTCTTAGTTTTGTGGCAACATAATGCATGCACTGCTTTATGCATTTCTTTTGACTTTTTAAAGGCACTTAACATTTTACTCTTGCCTGCTGTGTTACTGAAACCAGTTAGGGACCCACTCAAATTCTTGGGCTTCTTACACTGTTTGGGGATTATGTTCAAGTTTTACAAATTACAAACAGACAAAAAGTAACCAAGGGTTTTTTTTAAATCTTTTTTTAAAGCTCTGAACAAATAGTATGAAATAAAGTATTAACAATAAGGCGTATAGCCATGGGACCTAGAGATGGCTAGCCAACAGCACTTGGGTTTACCCAGGTCTAGGCATTGGTGCATCTGTGATATACGAAATACATATTTCTGATTCTTTAGGGCCACTGGGTACAAATTGCTAAACCAGAGATGAAAGTGAGAAGTTCATTGATGACAGTGCAGAAGCCCACAGATCACTATGAATGAGCAGTCCAGTGATATAACATATGACTTCCCTCCTACCCGGTAGCTTTTTTCTGATGGTGAGCCTGCCCTGGGGGCAGGTGAGAGAGATGGGTGACTGGGAGTCTCCTGGAGCACTGGATGTCTCTGAAAAGCTTGCTCTTTAAAGAAATCACAATTTCATTATTAGGAGCTAGTCAACACTTAGAAAAGAGAGGCACCAATCTGCACAGTCTTATAAAGGACCGTTCCTCAAAGCAGTAGAGAAAACTTTTCTCTCGACTTATCCTGGCCCAAGTTTTCTCTTCTTTTTACATCTCAGTATCTCTTGTAGATTAGAGTCAACTGAAGGAGGGATTGGTTCTGATATAAAGAACACGAGATTTTCTTAAATTTCTTTTTCTCTTCTAGAAATTTTTTTTTGCGAAGGTAGTTGTGTTAACTTTTACCCGATGAATCCCTTGCACTGATCACTGCAAATGAAATCAAGACATGACAATTTCTATCATACGTGTTGTCTAAGGATTTCATTGGCCGAGTAATCTATATGACAATAAGAGTGAGGTGGACTTCCCCCTTCCCTGCGTTACCTTCAGACACTGCCTATTTGTACGATAGTTGGAAAGGGACATATCCATAGGCTTTCTGAGGTATCACCACCAAAATTGACCCAGGCCTCACTCTGGCAGAGGCAGGTTGCCGTGAACTGTGGGACATAGTGGAAGTTCAGTCTCGTGCCTGGAGTGCAGTCTCCTTCACCCCCTTGACTTTCTTCCTTTCCCTTAGCACAGCACAAGATGCTTTTTGGCCTGACCAGAAGACCTGGGTTCCATTACCTCAATACCCCATGGACTCTGGCACAATAAACTGAAGTAGTGGCTATTTAGTAAAAAGAGCCAAACATTCAGACTATGTTCCAGCCCTAATCTTCCCACTAACTTAGCCTCCTTTCTCAGCCCTACCCCACAAAACCAACTTGGCTTGTGTTTGCATCAGCCGCAACCAATTCTTGCCTGTCTCAATCCCAAAAGGGTCCTTTGCACCTCCACTGCAGCTTCCCACATGTCATCAGAACCAGCCATCTGCATCTAGACTGTGGGCCAGCAGAGTCCAGTAGGTGGAGGGGCTGGATGCAGAACACAAGTGTGTCAATCGGACTGGTGAGGGACAACAGGAAGAAGTGGGATTTGTAGGGCATGAGAGAACACATGTCCCACTACAAAGACGTTCACGTTCACATTTGTAAGCACCGTGTCAGCCAAACAAATGTACCTGCCAGCAGCATTCAGTCCCCAAGGCAATAGCTTTGGACCTCTGATTACAGCCAACCAGAATCATAGTCTCGATTCCAACTCAGTGAGTGTATACACAAAACACACTGAGAATTCAGGTGGGGGAAAGGAACTCGCCCTATTCAGGGGCACATGGTTCTCCTGAATGATATATGCCACATCATTCTGAACCCAAACGCAGGATCTTTGTGAGGGAGATTCGGAAGAAGAGTACTGCAGCATCATGTCAGGCTTATCTGCTTCCTGTCACAACAGCATCTGACCTGAGTTTATATCGCTGCTGCTGCTGTTCAAAACAGCCCACGCAGTAACTGTACTCATTGCTGTTTCATAACATAGATCTTAGACTCTCATTTGTAAATGTTCTAACCATAGTTTGTAATGGGGAAATTATTAAAATAATCATTTTTAAATGAATTCCTATAAATAAAACAATTTTGAAATTGGATTTGTTAAATATATATACATCTTTCCTTCTTTATGTTTGGATAAGCAGCGGTTTGCATATCTACAGACATTATAAATATATATCAATTCTTAGAGAAATTGTTCTTTTTTTTAAAGGTCTGTTATTGGATTCACAATGCACTTTGAGCTTGTTTGTTTAGATACATAATTCCAAGCAGAAGTTGGCAGATACCACAGGAAAAACTTTCTGAAATTTCTGTAACACACGTTTTGCAATAAAAAAAATAAGAGAAACTTCAGTAGTTCAAAATATGACTTGGACTTCCTCGTGCATTTATTTGCCGCCATTTCATCTCTACCGTCCTGCACAGGGGTAATTTGCTCAGGCCCCGGGAAACCAGTGGCAAACTGGTGGCCTACGGGTCACACCTCCCCAGCAGAGAAGAAGAGTTGGTGGGTAGCGTGGGTTTTAAAAACTTGAAAGATTTAAAAATGGATACATTTCCCATCTAATTCCGTACTTCTGTCTTATCTTGAAAAATCTGAAGATCGGTAACACATGACCACAGTCCTACAAGACAAAAACCACCTCAATCATGGTAACTTGGCTGCCTTTTTATAAAGAGCGTGTGCTCTCAGATACACCATGGTCCCCAGCACTTCCTCTGTCTCATCCATGCTGTCCCCTTCACTCATTTGCATCACCCGGAAAGCCTTATACGCATCGGAATATTAGAGCCCTATATTAAAAGGTATGAAAAGGCAGTGGCAGTTCTCAAATTTCGAAGGAAGAAAAACCTATGGGGAGCAATTTGCCTGGATGAGAGAGACATGAGGAACTTGTCTGCACACTAAAGGTATAGCTGGCATGCTTTCACAATCCATTTCCAAGCACATCATTAAGATCTTTCATTGGATTGGCCTTAAAAGAGCTGAAGGATGGGAGAAAGGGGCTCAATCCCACCCCCCACCCCCGATGAAGTAACTCTGGTTACAGCTCATGTGGAAAAAAAAATGTGCAATAGTCCTGGAACATACAAATATTTTAATTTCAAATAACGGTGGAAAGAAAAATGCAGAACGTATATACATACCATTCTTTGTTCAAAAATTTTTTTTTGAGTACCTACTATGTGCCAGTGGTGTGTCAAGGTAAATAAAGTGGCAAAGTCCCTGCCATGTGGAGTTTTAAATCTAGTTCTAATGAAATGTAATTATATACTGTCTTGTAATTATCACCTAATTGTCTAAGGAATAGAATATGAAAAATGAGAGTCTAGAGGTTCCAAGGAGTGACAATGCTGTGTCTCAGGGCAAGGAAGTGTCTGTGAAGGAGGCTACACCGCATGTACCTGAGAGAGCACGGGAGGTTTGACTAACCAGGCAGGAGAAGGACCCTCCAGGTAAGAGGAGCATCAGTTTGACGAGCACCCACATGTAGCAGTGCTTCCTCCTGGTTGGAACATGCAGGCACCCCGGCTGCAGGGACTGCATCTCCAGCACGACCCGGTTTTGAGAATGAGGCTCTGCTCCCACTGGCACCTTTGTCTTTATTTTTCCCACTGGCTTGGTCTAGTCAATATTTTGAAAATGGAATGACTGACATAGTTTTCTGCATTATTTCCTTCAATAAGTACGCACATTTATATATTCCATACCATATTCAACCATGTGCCCTCAGATTTCTTGGAAAATGAGATCAGCCATCATTTACTGCCAAAATCTCAGATTTAGACTAATGCAGGGCTTTCCTGAAAGAGATATAATAAAGGTAGATGACAAGGTTCTCTGAACTAATGTGTTTGTTTATATGTCCCTATTTGATTAGAAGCCAGAACATGGCTTGCCATTTAAAGGCCTGGGTTATCACACCCTTAACAGTAACATGTTCTCAGTCATTCTTTCTTTTTTACCCTTCCCAAAGTCTGGTTGTTAACTTAGCC